TTTTACTTTCAGCTAGTCTGATTAGCCCATCCCAACACGGGTTTATGACTAAACGCTCATGCTTCACATCGCACCTGGAAACTTTTGATCAAACCACACAGAGAAGAGATGTTGATCAGTCAGTGATAATCCTGTACTTAGATTTTAGTAAGGCTTTCGACAATGTCTCACACAAACTTCTTCTAAAACTCTCTTCATTTAGCGTACAGAATCCCCCTTTATATTGGCTCAAATCGTCTTTAGAATAGCGTAGCCAAATCATTCTCTTTGAATCTTGCTTTTCTAAACCTGTGAGTGTAACCAGTGGGGTTATACACGGACGTATGATTGGCCCGTTGCTGTTTTTTTCTTTTTATCAGTGACGTGTGTTCCCTCTTTCAGTATGGTAAACCTTTCCTTTTTGATTTATTCATCCTCTTCTCTCACCAACGAAGCTATATTTCAGCGGTAATCCAAGAAGAAATAAACAAGTTATACGAATAGACTGTTTCGTGGAATTTGTCACTTAATGTTGACAACAATGAATTCATCCACATCGGCCGCTACCATAACCTAAATCTGGCTATACACAAACATACACTGAAACCTCTCAACACTGTTCGTAACTTGAGTTTAAGGTATAGTGACAGTTTGAACTTTTCTAAACACATTGCATCTCAAGTATCCAAAGCCAGAAAGCTCATCGGATTGATAATGATAAACTTCAATAATATCGAATCGAGATTATTATTATTATACAAAAAATGTATCTTACCCATTCCTGAATATGGTATTTTAGTTTACGGTAATTGCAGGCATAATGACCTGATTAAAATTGAAGGTGTTCAAAGAAGGTTCACCAAAGCTGTTTGGGGTATTCCGACAGCAAGGACTATCACCAAAGATGTCAACATCTCAAATAAGAACCACTCTGGATCAGGCGTATCAAATCAAACTTTATCTCTATCTACCGGGTTGTTGATGATATTTCCTACTCCCCGGTATCCACTTCTTTATACTCTATGTTATCATCCCACATTCTACGCAAAAAGAAAAATATTCTAGAGATTCCCAAAACCTGCACAAACTCACGCCAGAATTTTTCCCTTATTCGCTGCTCAACCATGTGGAACAGACTGCCAGTGAACCTCCGTCTTAATAAAACTAAAACCCGGTTCAGAAGTCTCCTTGATGATCTTCTCTCCGAAAGTGGGTTATGTCACCTATTGAATATCAATGTATTCAATAATGACTTATACGAACAAGGTCCGTCATCCATCTAATTGACTGAAAAGCAGAATGAAACCTTTGAAACTTTTCACGTCTATTTCATTCTTATTTTTATTCATCTTAACATATGAAGTCTGTTTATGCTTGTATTTATCATTATTACCGTTATTAAAACCATTAATGGTCCCCCGACACATTAGATATTCTTTTTATCTCTTCGTATCCTTCTAAACATATTTAATTCCAGATTGTCCTTTGAAATCAATTGTGACTTTCATAACATCATTCTTAATTATTATTGCACAAATATTTATGCTAATATCCGGTCTCACTCTGTATACTATTACATAAATCTAAATGTATTCATCCGAGTGCTTTAACGGATTTTTATTTTATTTTTCTCAATTGCTGGTTTACTTCTGAAGTCGATATTCATTACACAATAATCATTCTTATCATGGATGAACCTTTTCACTAGTTATTCACTTATTTTCTCTCTCCTCTTTCCTTTAAAATTAATATTCTGATTAAAATTACGACGTTTGTAATTAAGACAATAACTTGCGTTACATTTAAATTAACTTCTCAGACTCGTTTTATCTTCTCTATGCATATATGATTCATGCATATTGATATTTCGTCATCCTTTTCATTTATTTGAGACTTTCATAGCATCACTCCAAACTATGACTGCACAAACATTTATTCTAGCGTCATATCTTACTGTAATAATAAATTATTATTTCTTGATTATTTTCTACTTTATTTTTGTTACCAATTTGTCGATACATTCATAGTCATTTATTCTTGTTCTGTGTTCATAAACACACCTATTAAACTATTTGCGTATTTCACGTCTCCTTTATTTCTATCCCCTTATTTTCTCTCTCTCCTTCTTTAAAGTCAAATCAGTATTCTCAATTACACACAACCTGATTTATTGCTATTATTCTATTATTACTCTTTTTCAAATATGGCGAATATAATGCTAACATTATTGAAACTTGTGTATTGTTGTATTGTTGAAGAAACCGGAAGTTGTTTCCTCACAACATTTATGCACCCATAAGATGTTTGTGACTAATAATAATAATAATCACACGATTCTTGAAGCTGAGCGGAGAATTACTAGGAAGATTGATATCCGGTACTTGAGTGACATCCTGACCCTGTTATTTATTCGCTTATCAGTCTTGACTGTTCTTATGTGAGGGCGTAGGTGTGTGTGCATTTCGGCGAGACCCTAATTTATGGACGAGTCAATCACAGGCGTTTTAGAGATTTCAAGGTTACGGCGCCATTTTCAGTGCCTAATGCTAATGTACGATTGGTTCACGAGGAATTTTCTACAAAATGTGATAATTGCGTGGCCATAACAAATGAAACGGTGGGACTATAATTTGTGGACGAATCAATCAGACATAATATAATAGACCACGGATTTTAACACGAAAGGCTTCCATCCATTTGGCTAAATAAATTTCTGGCATTATAGCTGATGTCAATTCGTGATGAAAATCCCATATATAATTCCTAACTAAGGCAAATTACGACAATTATTGCGAACTGGATAATAAAAGCACCAGTAACACTGGCTGCAGCCAGGTACTACAATATATACGGATGTTTGGAAAGCGTACAGACTCCTACATAGGCTTGACTATGTGCATCATGTCGTTATTCACAAGTGGCATTTTGTGCACTTAACAACCGGTGTGCACATAACCAATATTGAAGCTATGTGGTCAAGGCTCAAAGAGTTTTTGACACCTTATCATGGCTCCAGAAGCCGACCATTCTGTATCCGTATGGATGATTTCCTCTACTGCATGTATTACGATTTGAGAACCTCTGAACGTCTTTCTAACCTTGACAAGTTTTTGGACCACGTATAAGAATTGTATCCACTTTATTTCCCTGGTTTTGTATAATATATTTTTACTCTATACTGACTGTTTGCTGATTGGTTAATATTTTTCAAGGTCGCTTAAGATTCGTTCCAAGGTCGTCCATAAACTTGAGCCTCGCCTACATTTTTTATCCCATTACTCATCACATGTCTGTAACTTACTTTTGTGTAACTATAAATATTGATTAACGCTTGGTTAAATGGGAGTTGGCTTACCAGCTATATCCACTCCACGTCGTTCCTATTCTCTCTATTCCATTCGCTTTATATACCACATATATGTATTCACAAGTCCATTCTCGTTATTCGACTTATTCAATTCCGTTATTGGCTAACACGATTTAAGTCGATGATTATATACTAGAATAAGGGACATATATATTTCAATAACAATCATTCATACGATCTAATTAGAGTCAGATCTCGGGCCACTAAAGTGAAGAGCCCTTTCGACGACATCGTTCGATCTAAATGACGATTAAATAACGGGCCTCCACAAACATTTTCCAAAGAATCGATTTTCTTAAGCTAGCTCAGCTTCCCATCCAGGTGTCCGTTCAACCATCAAGCTCATGACAGGACGATTTTGCTGGCCCGGTCTGAGTAGATAAGCAAAGAAGTGGGCACGCTTCTGTTTAAGCTGCCAGATATCTACAGTGATCAAACACAACAAATGTCCCTTAGGTTCACTTGAAACTCCCGATGCTCGTTTCTACCATGCTCATCTGGATTTGGTAGGACCTTTACCAAATTCAAAGGATAATCTTACCTGTCTGCGTTTGTAGGCCATTTCACATGATGGCCACAAGCAGTGCCCATCAAGAACATTACTAATGAAACTGTGGCCTGCGCCTTCGTCGAACGATGGGTAGCAAACGTCGGTTGCTCTTCAACTATCTCCAAAGACTGTGGACGCCAGTTCGAATATGGACTCTTCCGTTGTCTGACTACACTATTAGGAATAACGCGATTCCGAACAACTGCCTACCACCCACAAGCAAACGGGTCGGTGGAAAGCTTCGAACGACAGCTAAAAGCTTCCCTATCAGCTGTAAACGTTTCACAGTGGATCGATGCTCTTCTACACGTATTATTTGGTATTCGCAATGTAGTGAAATCTGACATTGGACACACTGCAGCTCAAATCGTTTATGGAACGGCACTTCGACTGCCAGGATAGTTCATGGACCCTTCATCTTCGATAAACATGGCCCTAACCTCCTACACGAGCAGGCTTACACACGCGATGCGTTCGGCTAAACCTGTTTCCACTCGACCGCAAACAACTGATGTTTTCGTCCAACCTGCATTACGATATAGCACACACGTCTTTGTACGTTGCGACTCACTTCAACGACCTCACGGAACAACATGCGAAGGACCATTCAAAGTTCTTCAGTGTGGACCTGTGTACTATATCATCGATCAGAATGGAACTAACGATAACGTCAGCATTGACGGTGTCAAAGTCAAGTATGTAGAATGAGATCCTAATAATATTGAGTTTCGTCCAGTAAACCCGAACAACACATGTCTCACTATTAAAATAACCCATTCGATGATCAACAATATCGAAGAAACTCTGATACCCGGCCTAAAACGACACACTCTTGAAGAATGGTTGGGTTTCTGGAACACTTAAACGATTTCTGCACACAGGACACCACATAAATTCGGTTTTGTGTTGATTGTTTCACGTTACCAAGTGAAAATACCGAAAACAAATCTTCTTTCTAACATGTATTTATATATGCGCACATTTTTTCTCTCACGAGAAACCCGATAAAACGATCAGCCTTCTAAACTGTCTAGAGAGAGACAGTATATCTCTGTCTTTAGTTAATTCGGATTGCGAAATTTGTTTAATCATGTTAATCTACCGGCCATATTAAAAGTTGGCAGTCATCTTGTTTCGCCCTTGAAGGTTTTTAGAAAAATTTATCAGGTTGCAAGTTGTAGGGTTGGTCGCGCTGTAACGCTCCGTTAATAATGTGATAAAATGGTGACAATTATTAATACAGAGTAACGATCGCCGGCGAACTTCTGGTGAGAATATTTTCTCGTTATTTTTTGAATGAATCAGATGTCAGAACCTCGAGAACATACCAATCTCGATTTTTTTAACCTGAACTTAGGCTCATGGTATAATGGTTCTGGTATGGAACTAGTCGATAATGATATTTGGCCTCCCAATTCGGACTCTTACCTTGCTCACACCAAACTGGGCAACATGGGTAAACTGCATACAGTTTAATTTATTTCAGCTCTTCCTGCCCCAAAACAACCCGAAAAACTAACTGTCGACTCTAAACCGGACCCTGCAAGTATGAGTTTGTTAGGCTTAATCTTATCGTTCTCAGTTACTTGGTCTAATAATCCTTTGAGGCTCTCTAACAACATGTCCATTTGGTCGAGTGATATGCAAGTATCAGAAGTAAAGTCATCAGGTAATCACAACCAACTTTGGGGAAGTTCAACTAAACAGAGTGTTTCACTTGTCTATGATGATGTAAGTCACTTGTTTTTTTTAACTGAACTATAGGTCTGGGACTCATCTCACGATCCTGTGTTTCAAGTGCCAAGGGTTACTAGTGATACTGATCCTTGGAAGCTTAGTCCAACACATTGTATTGGTTCCCTCACAAATGCGCCCATTACTATTGCGGATCCGGGTGTCTTGGCTGGTACATCCAGGTCTTCCAATATACCTCATGATAGTCCCGCTAATAGCCTTCCTTATGTTACTGCGATGCTTTCTGGTCTGAATCTTACTCCTAGGAATCCCGATGAACCAAGTAAGTCCTCAGTTTAACTAATCATAACACGCAGTGTTTTCTTAAACTTATATGTCTGTGCTTCAGATGATTTTGTTATTTCAGTTATAGCTAGAAAGTAGCATTCGGACTGTTGAATGCAACAAACAACGGCTCAGGCTTCTCGTTTCAAACTATATTTCTGTCAAAGAGCTAGTGTCAGCACTATATGTGCATAGACCTCAGTATCTTTGCTTCATTTCAAATCCAAGACATCTATTCTAAAATGCACTGCATCTAATAAACTACAATATTTCAAAGTGTCAGTTCTTCATTAATTAGAGTTTTTTGATGTAGCTTATAAATAAATAATCTCGCTTATTATATCGACATTAGTTCCAAAACGAATATTGTCTAAACTAAATGACTAAGACAGCAGCCAGCAGCGCTTGTACTGATTTTCATATTTAAGAGCAGTTCATTATTGACATTTGTACTGTAACTATTAACCCGTCTAACTAAATTCTAAAACTGACTTCCCATACTTTGTTTTAGAAGTATTCACATTGGAAATGCGTCACACGAAATTGCGCTAGTTAACGTTTAAAATAATCGACACATACAAACCGATGTATTGAGCGAGTATGTGACTGTTAATTGAGTAGCGCAGTCGGTTGACTTTAGAGGGAAGGCAGATATTTTTCACTTAGACTAATCTTGTCGTAAATGACTAGTCTAATATATCAGAATCAATGCACAGCATAGTGATGTGCACACTTACGATATCAAATAGATAAGTTTTACTTTTTATCCTTCAATTTGTCACGAACAATTTCATGTATTCACAAGGTCTTAAATAATTCAACAGTCTATGGCCTGTTTTAGGTTTGTTTGTCTTGTGGTAATAACTGCCAGTCGACTTACACTTATACAATGGATCATGTTGTGTACCGATTTTCTGAGTTTGAATCCCCTTGTTTCATCAACTGTAATCTAATCAAGCTATACGTTTTACAGCATCGTATCATGAACTGATCTCTCAACCGTGAGCAATATCGACGTCAAAAACTGTTATTTTCTATATCAACACTTTGGGTTCTGTCATAATAATTTGTTGGATTTCAAACTTTATCACTTTGGTACATCTCACGATGCTCCACTGCCTTGTACGTCACACCGTTAGGTCAAAGGCTCGGAGTGTGGCCCCCTAGGATAACCACCTGCTTCGGTCTGGGCACCCGGGCAGTATCACAGCCCACACACAAATGTGACGAATTGTCGATGTTTATGGAAAATGCTTGTCTTGCTTCGATCAACAACCAAACGATTCACATTATTACTATCATTACTATTATCACTATTATTTTTTTTCACGTCCTTTGTTCACTCTCTTTTATTCCCACTTTATGTATCCTTATTTTTCGACTCATACAGCAGCTCGCCTATGGTGGAAACTCGGTTCTGTCTAAACGTTCTCGAGTCACTGCCTGGTTGAAAATTGTATGCTACCATCAAATACGAATTCTTAATCAGTTTTTTTGAAACCACGTGCACCATTCAAACTGGCTGCCTTCAACGTTCGCACACTTATGCAGGTCGGACAACAGATAGGGCTGGATATGTCTTTGGGAAGTCTTAATATCGATGTTTGTTGTCTATCTGAGACCCGTATTCAAGACTCAAGTGAAGTACTACAAATTCGCTCTCCCTCTGTCGCTTCAAAAAGCTTGTTTTACGTGCGTTTATCCGGGGGCCCTGTGACAACTTCGTCTGGTCTTGCTGGCGTTGGTGTCGCACTAAGCGCTAGAGCTGAGGCAGCACTAATCGATTGGATCCTCATTAACAGTCGGTTATGTGCCGTTAGATTAGAAAGTTCCATCAAAGTGAGAAGAAATTGGCGTGAGAAACCATGTCTTTTCGTCATCTCCGCCTATGCTCCGACGGATGGCAGCCCGGATGCAATCAAAGATAAATTCTACCACCAGTTAACTGTTATTCTCCAGAAAGTGCGTTCGACAGATATTGTAGTACTAGCCGGAGACTTGAATGCTCAGGTCGGGCGTCTAGGCACAGAAGAGAGTCGTTCAGGTGGTCGATGGGAACTTGTTGGTCGCAGGACAGATAATGGAGACCGTCTACTGCAACTGCGCACAGACCACAACTTGTTTCTGGCTAGCACTAACTTCTGGCACGGTCATCGCCAATGTGTCACCTGGTGTCCTCCCTCTGCATCTGAAGCCTGGACTCAGATTGATCACATCGCGATCAGCTACCGCTGGCGTGGTTGTGTACAAGACTGCCGCTTCTTTTAGAGTACCTATCTGGACTCTGATCGTGCCCTGGTCTGCGCCAATCATACCTTGCTTTTCAGTGGCCAACGAAGTGACGGCTACCAAAGGATTGATGTCAGCAAGTTGGTTGCAACTTCTGTTGCAAGTAAGTATCGAACCGAGCTAGCTTCTAGGCTAGCTACCACTCTACCGAAAAGTATAGATGAGCATTGGTTGCAACTTCATGACGCCATCAAAATGGCGAGTAAAGCCCCTTGCGGCTTCGCGAAACGTCACGCTTATAAGCACTGGGTTTCTTCAGGCTCCTTACAAGTCATCGAAGCCCGTCGGTCTGCTCCTGGTGACCGTGAGTTTGACCACAAACGAAGAATGCTACGCAATGAAATCGGGCAAAGCTTGCGTAAGGACCGAGAAGCCTGGTGATCGGAGCGTGCCAATTAGCTGGAAGCAGCAGCTGCATCTGGCAACTACCGAGAGCACTTCCAACTCATCCGAGCCACTGGCAGAAAGAAATCTGTTGTGAGCGAAACAATCTGTGAGGATAACGGGATGTCAATCACTAATATCCATCGACGTCTTGGACGATGGGAAGAATTATTCGAAGGGCAGTTCAACTGAGCTGCTGCTCCGGCAACACCGACCAGACTGTCCTGCCCTCCATGGCCGGTGACGACTGATCCACTAAATTAGGCGGAAGTCCTCAAGGAACTCCAGCCCCCAAAACGCTGCGAATCGCCGGGCCCAGACGACTTACCTCCGGCCCTTTTTAAAGATGGTGTTTTTCTGGCTAAGGAACTGACGACGTTGTTTACAAAGGTCTGGGAACTAGAGAGTGTGCCAACGTCATGGAATGAGTCGATAGTTGTCCCTATCTTTAAAAAGGGTTCACGTTCTTCCTGTAACAACTATCGGGGGACAGGTCTACTTTCGATTGCATTCAAGCTATTGGGTTCCGTCATATTTCGTAGGTTGTTCAAAACCCTGAGAAAAATTGACTCGCGAGGAGCAGGCTGGGTTTTGTTCTGGTCGAGGATGTATTGATCATATCTCCACCCTCCGCCAAATGTTAGAACACCGTCATATTTATCAAAGGCCAACAATCGTAGTGTTTCTTGACGTTAGGGCTGCCTTCGATTCGTTGGACATTATTTATGTGTTCAATTAAATAAATAATAAACTTTGGTTGCCCGAGTTTTATCTCTTGGACTTCGAGCCGTTAACATCTATGGTAGTTGTATTGTAATGTGTTACACATGCTGGTGTGGAAAATCCGGAGTGTACAGTTATCTTTCTGGACTTCTGTAATACCACTGTGAACTTAGATCTAACTAGGCACAAAAGCTTCTTAGTACTAGACCAAATATTGTGGTATTCTGTGCTCACTACTAACTTCATACTGAATAGAATTAATTGAAAACAAATATTCAGGTAAATTATACGTTAGTTCCCTAAATAATCTGTTAACGTGGAAACTTTTTGTTTCAGCGTCCGATGTCAAATCGTCCATTGTCTGTGCTAACATGAATGATGTTGCGTTCTCAGCAGAACAACTCTGTGACAGACTAATCAATACAAACGAGGGTTGGGGGCGACGACCAATTGATCAAGCAACACCTTGGGAGCCATTAGATCCAAAGTTGGGTGATCAAGTGAATCGCAGTGGCATAACTACACCTACCCCAGGAGCTTGTCCTTCTGGGTTTGTAAGTGGAAGTCTTAGGATATCTCATACCCACTCAGCTGACTCTAACGTTTGGGCAAGTGGACCGCCAACAGGAACAGGAATATGGGAAATGCACTATGAAAGTTTAAGTGGACGCTCGGCTGCATGGCAGGAAGAATCACAATCCTCGACTTACCGTGATGCTTCGTCTGTTACCCATATTAGTCCTAGTACTTTAATAAACTGTAACATGAACGCCAATTCTCGAGGTGCAACACCAATGCCACTTAACAACCGTCGAGACTGGGAAGATAATGAAAATAGTAAGCACTAGATAATTTAAAGTGTTCATTCTGATTTACGTGCTATGTATATATTATATGTGCTAATGAAGTATGGCAACTTGGACCGATGCACATATGTGCCTGGTCCTACGTTGTAGCTATGTATATTTAAAAGCCTGGTTTAAAATAATTGTATAACAACAAATATACCATTTTAGTTTTTAGCCATTATCTTTGGTCGGTTTGTTGCACTCGGACTTACACTTTTAAACATTTTTGCACGTTTTAATTTCCACTAGTTCACTGTTTTATGATATATAGTAGATCTGAACTCGATAAAAAGCGTGCAAACCACTCCATGGTCCCGGTACATATATCACAGCATCACTTTTTACCGATAATAAAATAAAGGGAAAAGTTAGTTATAGTGTTTTCATCACGGACTTACAAGCTGTAATGCAAGAATGTTTTCTAGCTATATTCGTGGATAAATTTTATTCAATCCAAGAGGCACTGTCTTCAGTTTTTCGTGTGGCAATGTGGGTCTACCCGTATCTCTCCCAGACCTTTGGTGATTAAGTCATTCTAGATCTACATAAGCCATTCACTCATGTGTAATATTTTCTAGTTGGCTGAATGGGTCAATAGATTATGAGATAATGCCTCTTCAGTTCTTGGGGTAAGTTTATTAAACTATACAACTAAGTGTTCTTGCATTATAGTTGGTGTCAATCAATGATGAAAACCTTAAACCTAACTCTAACTCCCTAATCTTAGCACTATAGATCACCTATATTTGTTATTTTGTAGTCGGCGGTTGTTTAGTGGGTCGTTCAAGCTCAATTTTATGGTTCAACTTTATCGTAATTTTACCTTTCGATAGTCTCTTTCCGATGTAACTAACGTATGTTATGTACGAGTGCCTATGTTGATTACGACAGGTTGGTTTTCTAGCTACTAGACATGTAAATGCATGTAAATCCGTTCCTCTGTTTATTTGTTTCTAATTAGGATTATCCAAAAACTGGAGTCTCGGCCACTCTGAATCCTCAGACCACAGCAGCTTATTATGGAACTCGGTGTGTGTGATTGATAGTGAAGATAGTGTTAGTGGGGATATCATCCATAGACGTCCACTAGTAACAGTTGGTTCCAGTCAGGAAAGTAAGTGGTTTTATGTTAATTTCAGCCCATTATTTCCCGCAGTAGAAGTTTGTTATCAGATTGTAAAGATAAACCAATGGGTGCATCCAGTTTATACTATAAATGTTTCACAATGAAGTTATGCGAATTACTTGGTCCTTGCGAACGACATATGGCCTTATACAAAGCCATTCAGTCGAGAAATCTAAATCTTGCTGAAACCTCCAATTTCTTCATCACCTTTAGAATAATTCAGGCTTATAGCTGTGACAGGAAATATATTAGTATTTAAAAAATACCTGGTGCATTGAAGCGCTAAAAATACACCGCACGAATCTATACACGTGAAAAAGGAAGCAGAATAATTAGAGCAAAACTGTCAAAGAATACTGTTTTAAATAAGAACATAAATTCCAGTGTTCTCAATGTAGACCTTGCTATTCATGCAGAATTCGAAGGAAACTAGGGAATGACTGTCGGACTTTAATTTTAAGGCTTCCGATAGCATCTCAAACCACTTGGTTACATTATGAAGTAAATCTTTATCCGATAAATTCGCCTCTTCAATAGTAACTTGCTACACTGTGACCAGCAAATTAGGGGGTTTCATAAATTTTTGTAGAGTGGTTGTAACTAGTTACGACTGGTTTTTACCTCTAATTCCCGCTATACCATATATATATATATATATATATATATATATATATATATATATATATAATCCGTTTATTTTTGTACTGAATTCGATCGGGCAAAGCTGAGTTGTATTAGTGGATGTACATAAAGAGGATGTAACAATTAAGTGTTTCATTGTTCTCTGAATAATCGGTCCTAAATAATTTCCGTTTTCTATGATTTATCAGCTAAGTGAATTAGTGTATCTACTTCGTTCATATTCTCAAGTAACTTGAGATATGCTTCGAGATCACTATCACAGCTTCAAATTTGCTATGTTTAATTTTAGTTTCTGATATTCATCATTGGTGGTAGATACTAGAAATATCTTTATGTTAACTTGTCATCATCATGTGATAATTTAGCTTACCAAACTTAATGATTTTGCATACATTTAGCTTTTCGGAATAGTGGAAATGTTCAACAATCCAATGGTCGTCCTGTACTTGGTAGTACTCGCCCTATTGTCCCGACACACAATCCACCAGACGAGTTCTCGTGGGATCCTGATCCGAATTTTTTGAGGTCCGGTGTCAATCCGAACGGAATTGTTTCATGGGACACGTCACCCAATAGCGTGGTCAGCACCACTTGGGGGACTCTTGGTACTTCCAGCTTAATAAGTTCTACACAAACTCACTTCCCACCTGTTTCAGATGATGTTAGGCACCAACAGAACTTCATGAGTACTAACTCACTTCCTCAGGGATCTGTAAGTATTTCTTCTTTAATATGTTGAAATAACATTTAAAAGTTGAGAATGATATGATTTTATACACAGCCAAATAGTTTGTTGTACTTATCAGTGGTGCTGATTTGAACTGCATACCGGCATACGAGGAGGAAGTAAGTGGTCTAGTTTCTAGTCCAATACTAAAAAGCAATTGAGCTTACATAATATAAATTTGCATTTATTTTGTAACAAGTAACTCTGACTTTTATGAAATGCATAAAAGTTTTTGTGCGAGTAATGATATGATAACCAAAACCATAGTGAGCTTTTGTATCTCAATAAGTTACGTTGGAACAGATTAGTATACATATGGTAAAAAACGTCTATTGTTTGTTACCTTTGCATCTTGAAACGCTAACCAATACCACGTGTCAAAGTGACTAGTGAGGATCCTAATTTTGTCTATGTCGTTTCTTCTACTTATGTAACAGTGTCCCAGAATTGACCAATTATACGTCTGACCAGCACTGTTGACCTAGAGTCGACACAGTCAAACTCATATTGCTTCTCTATCTTTGCTTTGAGACCAGAAAGTCAGTGGCCAGTTTCCATTATTACTTTATGGTAGAACCATAATATTTCGACAGCAATTCTTAAATTACATTGATAATCATTAAGCTAATGAGAATAAAATTTGTATACAGGAATAATTTACTGTATAATAATCCGACAATTTAGAATGTATAAATGGCTTTTACATGAATAATGATAGATTTTCAGTGGAGTTTTCAATATTATAATCATAATAGATCCGGTATATAGACTCGTCCATATGACTCCATATCATTTGACCTGTAGATCCTTTATAAACTCGAGGAAAATTTTTCAATCTGGTCCACATACGTCGTTAGTATGAACACCAGTTGTTGGGTCTATGCTAGGTTTGAAGCAGTTACGAGTTCACTTAGACTGCGAACGGAACAAGGACTTGTGTCCAAAAACCAATAAACTAGCTATTCTATTGCGTCCCAGCCCCACTAACTAGAGAGAGAAGTCGAAGTCCGAACGCGGATATATATTCCGCAGAAAAGACAGAAGCACGAGCGATAACAACAGACACAAATCAAAACGTATATATACAGCACAAAACTGTCCTTGGGAAGCGCTACAAAATAGAAGACACAACGGACCAATAGCGTTTAAGATTCTCCCAAGTGGGGAATACGACATGAAGGTGAAAAGAGCGCTTTTGGCGTGAAAACAAAGAAATTCAAAATTTCAGAATAAAATTACAAAATTAGGTCCTTTTCCGAGTGAGTTCTGGGATCTAACGTCCCCAACAGTCTACATAGTGCCTCATGTACTAACTTGCGATGAATATATTCGTGTTTATAAAGGTACCGATACTCCTTACATATGCTTGTGTGAATTTTTGTTCCTGATTACACATGCTGTTTAATAATTGGCAGGAGTGTTGGAGCCTTTCTGTTTCGTATATATGTTGGTGATATCCTTTTGCGTTTTACAATCCCGGATTCCGAAATCTGTACTACTAATGCTGAGAAAACTATTACTTACCCAATCCACTTTCACACTTCTGCTCGTTATACTTCCCCTTCCGGACGACAGTTTCATCAATTTCTGCGATCCCGCCAACACATCCAAAAGATATCTTTAGGTTCTTAAGCATTATCAAATAAGTATCTCGCCAGTAGTAATACCACTATTGCTATGGCTTTTGTTACATCAGTCAGGACAGCTGCTTGAGTAGCTTGTACTTCCGAAATTCACCAGATACAACTAATATGACTTTTAGAATGTTGGAAGAATGAATGGCACTCTAGTCCAACAAGACTGGCACCGCAAATCTGTCTCATCGCATGACACTAAAACGGGAATAATATGCAGTTTAATAATAGTCAATGGGTTAAACCAAAGCTTAGGGTAAATAAGATATATATGCATAGTAATTCACAATAAAAATATAAATAACAATAGTCCGAAAACCAGTTCCAAAAATTCCAGTTTGACAATATTCGTTGCTCTATTTTTTTGATGTAATTCGTTACTTTCGCAAACAGATGTTTAATGCAATGCATTATATCAATACAGTTTTTTCATTTTTCTCAGTTTATCCAATCTTCCCTGTAATAATATGATGGTAATTTTAGTCCATCTACAATTAGTCATCTAAAAACAAAGCTTTACCCACCCTCTAACATGCATTTACTTCAGCATCTGTAATTAAGTAATTAGATCTCTTTTTCTTGTAACATAAACCATTTCGTAGTATTGTCCGCTAATATCCTTCATCTAATACCCTGGATATGTTTTCCGTACTTGTTAGCAAGACATTGATTGGATTAAAGCACGTTCCATACAGGATTATGTTAGAACATATTGACCCGGTTTTAGCTAGTCAGCGCTAGCAGATAATCGGAGGTTATAGGATATTCTTGTGTAAAATCTTAACAATACTAACGTTTTTATTACTGTGACTATCTCATTGGACTTGGCTTGTTGTGGAATATAATTACGCACCAGTCCAAGCCGTATTCTCATTTTTGGAACTAGTCGATTAAGGTAATGTATCCGAAGAATACAAAGCAATTAGGTTGGGCGGGTCGTATAACAAAAGACTTTACTTCGTACTATGCTTTTCAGAAGGTAGATTTGCATTGCTTACGTTAAGTAGTATATATATCGTGACTAAAATTTTTTTATTTTCCTTAGGAACGATTACTAATTCACCCATACAGTAATACCTATCGCGCAGATCTGGTCAAATACTTAATGAGCCAAGGATTTAAAAGAGAAGATGCACATGCTGCGTTAATTGCCTCCAATATGGAACCAGATAAAGCTATAGTCGAATTACGGGAGCGTTACAGCACCAATAAGGCTATTAATGCCATGACACAGCCCCCAGAGCTTAATCGTAATTATGGAGCTGATAGCATTCTGCACGTTGTAACAAGAAACGGACCCATGTACCAGCTGTCGAATCATACGTCTTTATCACAGTTCGCACCTTCTGGAAATAACTCTTCGGTGTCTGCACAAAATCATCGTCTGAAGCAGTCAGGGTTGTGCGTGTCTACGCAAAGTAATACAACTCAACTTTTATCTATGCAACCAATCCCTAACTCTCAATTCATGCGACAGCAGATTACACAACAGGTGATATGTTCACTCCAAATTATTGCATTATATAATTGTATATGCGGTTACACATCTCTTCTAATCATACTGCCTTCAGCAGTCATCCAATTGCTGGCTTGTCTTCTGGACTAAATGTGCTTCTAAGATGTTGTAGCGCATATTGATTTCCTAACTGGTGCTTTTTTAAAATGTTTCTTTGATTTACTATTGATTTTATTGTGATAATTATATTTTATATGTATTGAATAAATGACAGGCTTTAATCAGTAGACTGAGTCCATCTGTCAGAGGTGAACTAACTAGTTTATTTAAATCGTTTAGGTTGGTGGAACACCAAACCTAGACCTGAATACTCAACCGTTTTATTCAGTGAGATTAAGGCCTCACTGAACTAAAGATTCAAAATTTCAACCATTTCGTTAACTGTCTGAACGCTGTTCTGTTTTAGTTTTTTGATATGTTTTGAATTAACGTAATATTTGTACGACTTGTGGTCTATAAAATTAGCCCAAGCTTCCTGAGTTCTAATTTCCGTATCTTGGTATCTGATTAACTGACTAACCCTCGCAGTGTGACCTTCAACCTGAACGTTTTGACTACTGGTTCTCCTTACAACTATTTGAATTAGAAGGTTAACACCTAAGGGTTATCTTTGTAGACTTATCACTCTTACTGTGACTGGGTCCGAGTTGCTATGGCAGTTTTGACACCACAGTAGAAACAACTTATAACTTTATTAAGTTACCTGAAACAAAGTTCATTGATTATGGTCTTCAACTTTGTCACTCATTTGTAATCAAGCACTAATAGCATTCGTAATTTTCCTTTAGGTTCGATCGGCCTTAAACCTTTCCATTCCAAGTCCGTTAGGTGTACAGACGAATGGGAGTGCCACAATGGGAACCTGTGGTGGTTCGCTTTTGGGAAAGCCTCCATCTCTTTCCTTATCAAACGTTAATTCCAACATTCAAACTGCATCGTCTACTAATCCACATTCAAGCACTAGCCTACTAACTACTACTAGTTTATGTCCTATCAAAAATAATCGTACATCGACTGGACCAGCGTCTTTAAACCAAAACTCAGCGAAAAGGTCACCTCGTCAAATTTCGATCATAAACTCCATGATTGAATTGCAGAAAAAACATCAGGTGGGTAGAATTGTTTCAAATTTGTATTCCTATTTATTGCATTTCATCCTTTTTGTTGCCAATAGGACATAAGAATTCCGCTCATCACGAATTTTATTTTTGTCATTTCAAATTCCATTTACAATTGTAAAACGAATATTCTCCCGGATGGGTTTCGAGTTACCGAATTATTTCTCTAGTAGGTACGAAATCGCTATGTGCGAAATGCTTGTCTTTGGCAAACCTTGACAGAGAATGTTTGGTTGTCATTTCAGGGTTTTCGAAGATCTCGGGGATGCTAGATCCCCAGAAATAACTTCTAAACGTCTCATTTTTGTAATTTTGAAATTTCATTTTCGCACCAAAAGCTCCTATTTATGCCTTCAGATTGTATTTCTCACTTCGAAGGACTTTTAATGTCATTGGTTCGTTTCCTCTTTTAATCCTCTATTTTCTGACATTTACCGAGGACATTTTTATGTTCTATATGTAAGCTTGAGTTGTGTGCTTGTTTGTTTGCGCTTCCAGGCTGTTTGTGGAATATACTTTTCCCTCGGGTGAATCTAGTCTTCTCCCTCTAGTTAGCAGAGCTGGGGCGCAGTCAATAGTTTAGCTTGTCCTGTTGCGTTTTTGACTTTCGTTCTGTTCGCCTAGATGATATCATAATCTCTTCAAATGTCGCAGAAGACTGTGTATTAATAACAAGTATTCCAGCAAGTGAATCACGAAGCGTGTGAACTGTTTAAAAACAATGGTATAAAACTTATGAACCTGCAGTTTATTGAAAGATCAAATGCAACCAGCCGTTGTCGAGCTATGACATTCTCAAATCAAGTAATGACTTCTAGGAATATTCATGATTTAGATTAACTGTATGCACGTTTGAAGATGTTACATCTTCCTCAACCGGTGTGTTTATACTAAAATATCCATATAACAACGCATGCTGAATAACTAATATCGTTTGTAAAACACTCACTTAGTTTTATATCTCATCTGTCGAAATGATCTGAGCCTGTTTCTTATCATCCTGATTGTTCTATTTTCTGCTTGCAGAGTATTCAACACCAATTAAATATGTATAATAATAACCCTGCCCTTCGTTCACAACCTCAGTACGCGGACGTATTTGTTGAACTCCAAGGTCAAATGCAACAAATTGAAACTCAGTTACACGGAAAGCGAGCACAGCTTAACATAACTCGTGCTCAAGATTCTGTAACACAATCTGTAAAGAACCCTTTAATACCAACAAATGGTTAGTTGTTTATGGAAGGTATTTTTCTCAACTTCAGCTGTTATGCTTCATAGAGTTAAAATGATTGGTTTTGAATCTTGTACACAAAATGCACAACAAATGCAAGAAACTGACAAAATACCAAAACTGGAACTATGATATGTTTATATCGCAGTTTCTTCTGGTAGTCCAAAGTATATTAGTCATTCCATCCTTATTTTTTTTACTTGAAGTAATCACCTTTCCCTCCAAATCATTATTATAGCGATAAACAAGGTTTTTTATTCGGAAAAGAGTTTCCAAACATGCTACCTGAACTAAGTTCCCAGTAAACAAGTTTTTGTCACCTGATCAGTCATTCACATTCTACGTACAACCTGGCACTTGTGCATCGGTTCAAGTTGCCACACCATATCATAGTGAGATAATTCCAGTAGTAGAACCAGTGGCTGCATTAGTGGTAAATGAAAAGATTGCTCACAGAAGACATGATCCGAGAAAATTAAATTGGTGGGGTAAAAAATTGTTTTTACGGTAATTAAGATCTAAGGGAAGACAAAGTGTAAATGTACCTGCACCGTTGCAAACTATTCTGAGCCATGTTGCTCAAAGTCTTCGACCATTGGTTGCGATAATCATGTGGACTACAACCAGGTAGTTTGTACCTTCCTACACGACTTAGTCCAACTGTCAGTTACTTTATGGACTGATCCCACGTTCCAGGTTTTCAATGGTGGTCTAACATCAATCGGTTCATGATCGCGATAAAAAAACAATACTAATAATCGATGAATATGTTCTACTTTTACAGGCCACGTTCCATAATTACAAAGTAAAACAGAAATGATGAGCATATTCCCCCATTAGTTGACAGGCGGATATCTAGTCTACACCATAAGTGACGCAAGTTAGCCTAATTTTAAGTTGTCTTCACTGCTCATCGTGTTCAGAGCCCGAAGAGATGAGTATCTAAGCATCTAACAATTCTGTGAACGCCACCAAAATCCAGTCTATATTAACCTTTTGTTTAAATAATTGGTAGGTATCGCTTGTCAGTCTGGTGTTTTGTTTTCTTTTTAGGTGCCGATATTTCTGATAACTCGTTTCCTGCTGTTGGAACATGGATATCTCCTTCACCACAATGTGGCGAAAACTTTGATAAAAACGTCATGGATGGATCAGGTATGTGAAATAAAATACTCTGTTTTCATCCTCAGTAACGTAAAAATCCGCGAAACATAGAATTGGTCTCGTTGATTTCTAAGCCGTTGAAATTATATCAATTTCGTTTCACTACTGTGCTCATACCGGCAAGGTGACTAAATGCTCTGGATAGCTTTTAAATTGTTTCCGTCGTTTACTACAGTATACATGTATCTTATTCGTTAGTTCAACTTTTTATTTGAATTTCAGCTTTTTCTAATGTAATCCAAAAGTGAGACAATTGTGTAGTCAATATATTACAAGTCGACGAGCTTGTCAGTCAATTGTTAAGATGAAACGTTCACTCGAATATGTTTTGACATGATATCCCGAGATCGACATGAATAACGATGTTTCCTAGCACTTATTTAAACAAAAGGTTAATATAGACTGGATTTTGGTGGCGTTCACAGAATTGTTAGATGCTTAGATACTCATCTCTTCGGGCTCTGAACACGATGAGCAGTGAAGACAACTTAAAATTAGGCTAACTTGCGTCACTTATGGTGTAGACTAGATATCCGCCTGTCAACTAATGGGGGAATATGCTCATCATTTCTGTTTTACTTTGTAATTATGGAACGTGGCCTGTAAAAGTAGAACATATTCATCGATTATTAGTATTGTTTTTTTATCGCGATCATGAACCGATTGATGTTAGACCACCATTGAAAACCTGGAACGTGGGATCAGTCCATAAAGTAACTGACAGTTGGACTAAGTCGTGTAGGAAGGTACAAACTACCTGGTTGTAGTCCACATGATTATCGCAACCAATGGTCGAAGACTTTGAGCAACATGGCTCAGAATAGTTTGCAACGGTGCAGGTACATTTACACTTTGTCTTCCCTTAGATCTTAATTACCGTAAAAACAATTTTTTACCCCACCAATTTAATTTTCTCGGATCATGTCTTCTGTGAGCAATCTTTTCATTTACCACTAATGCAGCCACTGGTTCTACTACTGGAATTATCTCACTATGATATGGTGTGGCAACTTGAACCGATGCACAAGTGCCAGGTTATACGTTGCATATAAATTACGGAATATAGCTTTCAATTACAATTGGTTTATATTTCCATCTATTTTGCTGTTGGTGAGTATTTTCGAAACAGGTCATTTAGCGGATTTCCTTATTTCAAACTAAAGTGTGCTTAATTGATATTTCTTTTTGCAATACTCTCGCTATTTTTTTATAGCTTCTAAGTTGAACAACTTCACGCGCACTCCTTCTTGCAAAATATCTGGTAGTTGGTCTCCTACCTGGTCTTCATCTGTTATAAATCCATCCTGTCCAAATATTCGATCCATTCATAATCAATGGCAACTAATACATAATCAACAACGATGTGCTTTAGAGAGTAACTTGAAGTTTCCGGTGTCAAAAAATAATCCTTCGAGTACCCTATCTATTGAAGCTCAAGGTCAATGGCTACTAGTGCAACCACTCTTAGGATGGAACGGTACAAACATTCACAGCCTGCAAAACATTTTATCAAATCATTTTAAACTTACTAGTTTTCATGTTTTGAATCCAAGCAGCTGTAGTGTGCTTATAAGGCTTCAAAATATAGAGGACTCACTGCAGTTAGTGAAGTTTTTTGGCGACCGTTTATCTGTAGAACCGTTGTCTGATCACGACGCTCGCGTTCATTTGCAACAGCTAGTATGTTTCGTGTCAGTTTTTCGTTTTAAATTATTTTGTAAAGTTCTGCTGCTTACCCTGATTTTCTTGAAGACCTTCAAGATGTTTTAAATAAGCAACTTTTAGCATTCTGCTTAGCAGATAACTTAGTACCGTCTGAGTTAACTTAAGATTATATCTGTAGAACCTCACTACAACATTAATTATAATAACTACGATTTCTGTTCCAAACAGTTGTAAAAACAACAATAGGTAGTCAACTTGAATTTTCGCCTCATTTCATCCTGTTTTTGTTGTTTACACAGGCGCATATTTGTTCTCAATAAGTACCATGTGTAACCTTCATCTGATAACCCGTGATAGATTGTTGAAATACTTCCCACAGCTTTTCATTTGTTTTCTATTCGTATTTTTCGTCTGGAGTATCCATTTTTGTACGATTTTATGTTTTTCACTAGAATAATCTTCCCTGAAAATATCTTCAGTTTTTAGATAATGTCTTATTCAAAGGTAAAAGTAATTTTCGCTATCCATTTTTCTCAGGTATCATACCCTATGTGGAAAGCCTAGTGTAATCTCAAAATAATCTTCTGTATGTATTTGATTTATATAGCATTTGTGACTATGTGGACTACATGATGTTTCCCAACTTTTTTAATTTTTATTTTAGTCTTTGAACGCTTGTGGAGATGGCCTAATATCCAATCACTTTAATACGTCATCTGATATACATGCCACACCACCTAGTTTGAATAGCAATGGACAGTTTTACTCCCCCATGAATTCAAATAACAAAAAGCCTAATCCTCATATAGCTCGTTTTGGAATAACTGTATGTGGAAGCAAGTAAAGATTTATATTTGTGAGAAAGGTGGTTGTCTCATGGAATCTTTTTTATTCTCTGAATATCTTAGGGAAGTCTTCCAATCTCAACGCTTTCGCGTTCAGATTCACGTCTCTGAAGCGCAGCCAATCTGTCAGTATAAAAGTTAATGACTAACTTAAGTTATGCTCAAGTTTTGCCAGTATGTATTACTCTTTGAATACCCCTATTTAGTTCATCGTTTGCTGTGCCTAAGAACATTCTGTGATCCAATATTATTACAATCATACGTTTTGAATTTACAAAATTATATGCGGATCAAAACTAGTCAGAATCGCCTTGTAAATTATAAACATCCTCTTTATCCATATTTTCCCCATCTGATATATATATATATACCTCATTGCCTTTCAATCATCATTAATTCTGTGTTTGTGAATGTATCCTGACTGTTTGTCTGTTGAATGTTGCAGTTTCGTTTTTAAACCGTTCAGTTTTAGTAGTCTTTCATTTGTGTGCTTTTTGGACAGCCTCTATGATCTGTAAATCGTTTCATTATTTATCTTTTTGTAAAGAGACTTCTAGTATCGCTAATGATTCAGTCTGTTTCTGGTTTATAAGTCAAGTGTTTCCCTCGTCCATTTTGAATAGTATCTAGTTTGTCCTAAATATTATATGGTTGATATACCTATAATTAATTTGTACTCTTTTGATTTCCCTCTATATGTAGTACATTTTGTGTGTTTTCAGTGAGCTAATCAAAGCTAAACTGAGGATGTATTTTTCCATCTTAGTACAACATAGACCATGTCCATTGATAGCCCCTAACTGTGATGTATTTAATTATGCTCATTGTTCTAATTTCCTCACCATTTCTCTCGTCTTTAAAATGCAAAAAATATTTGGTCTTCAACTCTAAATACACTGTCTTAACTATAGACCGGTGCAATATGTTTCTTGTCCCTCAAATTGTGCTCTGAACATTACTTACCTACCTCTTAATAGCAGTAAATTCGTTTGATAAGCTTATAGTCCATGCACCGTGTGTATGATCAGTAATACTTTTTTTCTTTTGACGACAATAAGTGTGCATCCTATATTATCAAATTATCGCTTAATAATTATAATAAAAGAACTATAACCTACTCTGTCATCAGAAATGTTTAATTTTTGCAGATCCAGCCGAAATTACACAAATCCATTATCATGAATAACTTATATTAGTGTCTTTGATATATATATATATATATATATATATATATATATATATATATTCCAATCAAATGGTCATCCGTTATGTACTTTGCTTGTAATTGTTGCATCCAGTTTTTTTCTCTGCACAATGGTCAATCTAAAAATCAAACTATGCTTTTCTGCTTCTCTTCAGTATGTATGAATATATACTTATCCCGTTTTAATTATTTTGAACTCTGAATAATTCTGGCTGTTTATCACAAACCATTCTGAGTTAGTCTTTCTAATTCTCATGTCTTGTTGTTGATGATTGCATTTTCCTTTAATAATTCTAGATATAACTATACTTTTGTGGTTACCTTTCTGTATATTCTGTCTGAATTGTTTTTACGCAGTCGATTTTGTTATCACAACGACTAAGTTCTTTAATTTATCATGTCATGTGCTCTGTTTTTCTTTGCTAAATAACTCATTCCGGTGCAAAGCTATATTATGTTGCCAAACTTATTTAAATCGCATAGTCTCTGTATTTTCCCTTGTTTTTTAATTTCTGCCACATCTTGAAAATATCTTCATTTTTTTAACTTAGTGGATTGTGAAATTATTCTGCCTACTTATTACCTTTTACTCTAACCTGTGATCAGATCCATGTGTTGTAGCTACTGCGCACCTGTCTCGCGTATTTTGATGTATTATTTTTCATTCCATTTATGGGCCATTGTTTTTCTTTTATCGTTATGTTCGTGTCTTAAATATTAACTGATCTACATTTCCAGGGATCCAGAACATTTTGTGATGCTTTTCGTGCCTGTGCTAACTGACTAGTTAGCATTATTCATATCACATGTGCTTCCACTCAATTCTGTTTACAGCTGCAAAACAATGTAGGAAGTGGACTCACATAAAATAATTGAAAGCACCATATTTTATTCAAAACTTCTTTGGTTGTGTTCAACATAGTCCCATATTTCTCCACATATCCTGGGTGCTCACAGATCCGTGTAAACTTTCATACTTCAGAAATCATTGTGCTCTGTTTTGCAACCTCTTGATTCAATGTATTGAATCCAATAGGTCGTCCAGTTTCATTTTCAAATCCTAATTTTGTTGGGACTCAGCATTCTTTTTTTCTGTGTCCAGTATTGAATTTGCAGTCTTGTTAAGCATAATCATGAATTTAAAAAAATTAACGGATTTTATTTTATGATAGATTTGCCGTTCCTTCACTTTATGTTCATTGATTATTTCTGTCATTTTCATATCCTATCACCTACTCTTCTCATCACCCTTGCTGTGCTGATACTAATTATTATCCAGTAAAGCATTATGGTCTCTTAATTGTGTTTTTTTATATAGCGAAATTCGGCTGGTTCCAGGGTCCTTTATTTTATCCAATTCCTGTAAGACAATGTTCTCTTTGAATTATGATAATTAATGAAGCTAAAAGGTTTTTAGATTATTTGCGTGACTTCTTACTGGTTCCCAATATCGTCTGTCTATTTTCATCGTTGTTTCCAGCTCAGCTTTCTGGACTTGCCATTTTTGCGCCAAGTTGTTTCACTAATTATTGACTATTTAGCATTGTTTGCTGTGCCCAGTGGACAAAGGTTTTTTTAAAAATATTTCAAGCTTTCTTGTTGTTTTCATTGTTGCTTCTGAGTTTGGTTTATGAACGTTTCAGTGTGTTCCATATTTTCTACATGGATAGTTAATTCGGATTTCATATTTGAACCATCTGATCAATTCTTTAAAAATATTTGTTCATTCTGTTGGACAATAAATCTTTACGTCGAGTTCTTTGTTTTAATCGCACGTATTAAGCGTACAACTCATGTGATTTAAAACACTCAGTATCAAACATAATGAGTAGTCAAAAAGTTTGAAAAGTCTTTAAAGCAATATTTGTTCTGTCATTAGGTTTCCAGGTTCACCGAACGTTATAATCGTCTAGTCGAGTATATATATATATATATATATATATATATATATATATATATATATGCATAGTAGTCCAGTTAGCAATTACACAAAAACATAATTAGCAATAGGTCGAAAATCAGTCCCGAAAACTCCAGCTTTATAGTATTTGTTGCTCTATTTGTTTTGATGCCCCTGACGTTGTGGTCGGGCTTGCTTGTCGTGATGAACCAATTAAGTATACCGGCTGGGGCGTCGTCCTTCAAGGTCCTACCACGATAGAGAGGTCGGTTGAAGTGCGGTAAGACTAAAAGCAGCCCACTCAATGTCTGACGTCGAACTGCTGGCTGTACAGAGATGTGATGGCAGTAAGGTGTACCCTTCCGACAGCCAGCATAATAGCGATGCTGCCTTCCCACTATGAGGGGTGGGGTTAGAATAGGCCGACCCTGAAGATGCATACCTCGCCTCACCTCATGGATATCCGTCTCCAGTGGTAAGGTCTCAACAGGTACAGAGCTAACACGAAAATTACTCACAAAAAGTTCGTATGTGACCGACCTCGAGCAGTTGTCCCTTGGGCGGTAACTGCCCTCATACCTTTAACGGCACTCATGATAACCGTATCCATAATCGATCTCCCTCTTTAGTTCCAATTATTACTCCTACTTCGACATTCAACTCTAAATTTCCTCAAATGTCACCATGACCGACGATTCTATTGAACGAAACTCTATCCCAGGTTTACTGAAACCGTGCTGCAAACTTCACATTGGAGCCTTCAACGTACGCACCCTGTATCAAATCGGCCAGCAGGTCTATCTCACTAAAACACTTAGATCTCGTACCATTGATGTATGCTGTGTCTCCGAAACATGCGTACAGTATCCTGGTATGGTCATCCACTTGACCTCACCAAACCGGAGAGCCAAAGAGACCATCCTTGTGCCTCACGACCGATGGCTAATTCTCGTGGACTGGCAGGTGTAATTAAAGCACTAGGTTGGAGGACAGAACAAGCACCATTAGAGTGGGTCCCCGTTAACAGTCGTCTATGTGCTGTTCGGCTAAACGGCTTCGGAAGAATGAGGACACACGTTGTTGCCTTTTCGTCGTTTCTGCCTACGCTCCTACTGACTGCATCCAGGATGAAGTGAAAGATGAATTTTACAGAAAGCCTTCTGAACTTCTTCAGAAAGCTAAACGTTCAGACATAGTACTCGTAGAAGGTGCCCATTTAGGCAGCTTAAACCAAATAAAAAGACATTTTGGTATTCCGGCTCAGTGAACAGATAATGGTGATCGTTTAATTAAGGCAAGCACTAATTTTAAGCATTAGGAGAGACATCGTCTTATATGGCGACCCTCTGCACCAAACAATCGATGGACTCAAATAGACCACATTGCCATCAGTCATCGCTGGGGAGGGTCGGTAGAAGACTGTCACTTGTTCTGGAATGCATGTTTGAACTGCTCTAATACGAGCATGCATTTGCTTGCGCCTCATTGGACGCAGCATAGCCTCATTCAGAAAACCCTTTGGAATTGAATTGAGTGATGAGAAAGAAAAAGTAGATTCCAGGAAAAACTGAGGTCACACTTCGTCAGTTCTGAAAACAAGGCTGATCCAGATGATACCTGGAAAGATATACAAACAACTGTGGAAACAGCAGTGATATCTGTTAATGATTTGAACCAATGAATTTCTTCTAGGTCTGTTTCACTGGTAGATCCTCGTAAACTCATTAGATCAGGCTCTGAATAGGATGAAGATCTAGGTTAACCAAAGTTCCAACGAACGACCGAAAGCAGCGGTGAGAAACGAAAGCAAAGGTGATGGAAAAGACGGTGGCAGATGTAGGTAACACAAGATGGTTCTTCAGATTCATAAAAGAAACAGAAGCTAAAACGTCACGGATGGTCAAAATAAATAAGAAAGGGTGAAACACACTAAGAGAGAAAAGGAAACGTAAGTTAGATGAAATGCTGTGCGGCAGACGAGTATTCGGGTCTGGAATTAAAGTGTTAGATGGTGGAGCGTGTGTGCCGGAAATTCGCTATGAGTATGTAGTGTATGTATGTTCTTTCGGCCATAAAAAGAAGCCAGAGGGCTATGGTCAGAGAGTAAAAGGGTAAATGATTATTATTATTGTTTTCAATTTTTACAGACCAAAGTTTGGTGGTTGCAAGGCCATATTTCGTTTACGGTATGCTGTGAACCGGTTCGTCATATCGTCGTCGAGGATGATACATAACCATCCTGGTGATGAAAAGTGCTTGAAAAATGATCCTTGGTTCAGAGGACTAAGTGAAGATCAGTTGAAGGTTGTTCTACCGATGGTTAAGACTGGAAGTAGTGCTGAATCTATTGTTAAGTATGCAGAAGAAAATTTCGAAAAGACAATAACAGTGCATTATGTCAATCATTTAAAATATAAATTTGTCGGACGTAAGCTTATCCCATATATCTACGGTTTTTTAGGTTGTGAAAGTTTAAACAAGGTAATTGCAACCTTGCGGAACAATGGAAAATTGTTCGTTTCTTATGGGGGTGTGGCTAAACAGGTCACAAAGATAGCATTTAACACACACGAGCAAGTTGTAACATACAAACGGTTCCCTGAAGTTGTGTGTTTGGATTCAACATACAACACGAACAGTGGAAAGTAAGTTAAATTTTGTCTTTCGTTATAAACTCTTTCAGTTGGTTTGTACAGATAGCTGCGGGCATGGAGTCCCAGTTATGTTTGCTTGGACCAAGGAAGAGAAGAAGGTTGATGTTGTAGATCACCAACGTAGATGATCTATGTCGAAATGATTGCAGGCCTACTCGAGTTAGACGTCAATGTTGTGACAAACTAGCTAACGTCGAAGTCACACCTCGAGGTCAGCGCTTTACGTGGACTACCCCATTGATGTATCAAGTACCATAGATGCTTTGAAGACTGTACAACACAGAGGACGTTATTACAGAAATATATTAGTTAAAGTAGATACAAGCGAAAGTGAGACCACTGCCGCATGGGCCAGTCCATGGTACACGATTAACTGATGCGCGTTGGTTGTCACTGACCTTGACGAGGATCGATGATTTGCTCGATATTCAGTGACCCAACTGCCGGATGATTTGGCTATGGCTTAGTGA